ACTTGGAAGGCTGAGGTGGAAGGATTGCCGGAGCCCGGCAGGTCGAGGCTGCGGTGGCCGGGAGTGGCCACTGCACTCCAGTCTGGGCGACAGAGTGAGACTCCAACTCAAAAAAACAAAACAAAACAAAAAACACAAACAAACAGAAAAAAAGTAAGCAAGCAGGTAGAAATGTGGTCATTCTATATAATTCTAAAGGTGTGAAAGGAGAACTTGGAGGTATCATGAAGGTGACAACTACAGCTTCCATTCTTAGGGTTAAAGAAACAATAAGGAGCTGGGCACAGTGACTCACACCTATAATCCCAGCACTTTGGGAGGTCGAGGCGAGAGGATTGCCTGAGCCTAGGGGTTCAAGACCATCCTGGGCAACTTGGCAAGACCTCGTCTCTACAATAAATCAAAAAAACTAGCCGGAAGTGGTGGCACATGCCAGTAGTTCCAGCTACTCGGGAGACTGAGGCGGAAGGATCACTTAAGCCCAGCAGTGGTGGCCGTGAGCATGCTACTTCACTCCATCCCTGGTGACAGAGTAAGACTCCAACTCAAAAAAATAAAAAGAAAGAAAAAGAAAGAAACGATAAGAAAGGGGAATGCATAGAAACTTGAGTCCGGGTTAACACTTAGACCTCCCAGGTGGGGGCACCACTCTGATGGGTCTGGTGTTTATGAGGTGGGTGGAATGAGGTCAGTTCTGGAAGTGCTGGGAAAACTGCAAACTGCATTCAAATGCCTCTGTGGAACGGAATAGCTGCTGCTGGGGTGAAAACGCATTGCTGGGGTGACACAGAAACAGTGAACAGACAGGAAAACGTGCATCCTTCCCTCCTCCAAGCTGTAGTCTCTATTTTGCCCCACTTATTGCCAAAGACCAACCTGGATCCATCTGGCAAAGCAAAACGTGGTTATGGCTGCCCCTGCATCCCAAAGCTGAGTGTGGAAGGGAGTGTTTGGAGCCCAGGGAGAGTGGCTGAATGGCAGGCACAGACGGAGTAGGTCACTGTGGCTCCTTTTCTTGGGGGGGTTTCATCTTGCTGGTCTCCTCTGTCTTTTTTTAAACACACTGCTTTTGATTTAATTATATTTAATTCATGTTGCAGCATGATTACAGTTTTTCTCTGCTTCGTTTCTTGGAGGAAAAATTTAGATTCTTTCTGTTTTTTGCTTTGTAGTAGCTTTGTGTGGAGGCTTCTTGCCTTCTTCTGTTCATTTTTTTTTGAGTTGGAGTCTCACTCTGTCACCCAGACTGGAGTGCAGTGGCTGCTCTGGCGATCCTTCCGCCTCAGACTTCCAAGTAGCTGGAACCACAGGCATGAGCCACCACACGTTGCTAGTTTTTTGATTTATTGTAGAGATGAGGTCTCACCAAGTTGCCCAGGCTAGTCTCAAACCCCTGGGCTCAGGCAGTTCTCTTGCCTCGGCCTCCCAAAATGCTGGGATTATAGTCATCTGGGGGAAAAAATGCTTCTTTTCAGGCCAGTCCTGGTGGCTCATGCTTATAATCCCAGCACTTTGGAAGGCCAAGGTGAAAGGATTGCCTGAGCCCACTGGTTCGAGACTAGCCTGGGCAACTTGGTGAGACCTCATCGCCACAATAAATCAAAAAATTAGCCAGGCATGGTGGTACATGCCTGTAGTTCCAGCTACTTGAAAGGATTTGCCTGAGCCCAGCAGGTTGAGGCTGCAATGGCCAGGAGCATGCCACTGCCCTCCAACCTGTGTGACAGAGTGAGACTCCAACTTAAAAAAAAAATGCAGTTGGGCATAACTCAGGCTCAAGCCTGTAATCCCAGCACTTTGAGAGACCGAGGTGAGAGGATTCCTGAGCCCATGGGTTCGAGAACCGCCTGGGCAGCGAGACCTCATCTCCACAATAAATCAAAAAATCAACCGGTCGTGGTAGCGCATGCCTGTAATTCTGGCTCCTTGGAAGGCTGAGGTGGAAGGATCGCCGGAGCCCAGCAGGTCGAGGCTGTGGGGGCTGGGAGCGGCCACTGCACTCCAGTCTGGGCGACAGAGTGAGACTCCAACTCAAAAAAAAAAAGTATTTTACAAAATTTAGAATTAAAATTTCCAAACTGTATTTAAAACATTTTAGATAAAAGGCATAAAATAACATGCCACTGGCTACATACTTGGGTGTTCTCATTCACCCTTATTCGCAAGTTGGCACAGTCTTTCCATTTCTTCTTTTCCAGCGGGCATCTCTCTGGGCTCCGTCTCTTTCCCATCAGTCCCAGGTGAGAGTTTCCCTTTTACTTTCCTCTCCAAGCTGGCTGTTTCCCTAGACCCTGGCTTTATGCTCAGTTTTTCCCAGATGCATTAGATGCTGAGTCAGAGGAAAAGCACTTTGACTTTAACATTTTAAACAAAAACTTAAACAATTTTACTATGAAAGCAATATATATTATCTATTTAAAGAAATTCAGGGCCGGGCTATGGTTCATGCCTGTAATCCCAGAACTTTAGGAGGCTGAGGCAAGAGAATTGCTTGAGCCC